CCAAGCATAAGGGATAGCCACCTTATGAAGAGTTGCCTGTGAATATGTCAGAGTTTGTGAAAGTGTTATCGGAAAGGATGGATGATATTCACCATCAATTGCGTTCAAACTTGAAAACGTCTGCTGATTCAATGAAGTTAACTTATGATAAGAGATCTACTGAAGTCAGCTTTGTACCAGGAGAAAAGGTATGGTTGTATAATCCCAGGAAGACCAAAGGGAAGTCTCCTAAGTTGCCTTCTCCATGGGAAGGCCCATATGACATAGTGGATCATCTCTCAGACGTGACTTTCCGGGTAAAATGTGGTCGGCGAGGTAAGCCAAAAGTGGTGCATGCCAACAGGCTTTGGCGTTATCACGGTCCAGGACATTTCAGTTGGGATTAAGTGGACAACAGAACAAATGACGTTGCTGAAAACGTGCCACCTGAAGAAGCCACCGTCGAAGAAGAAACTCTACCAATTTTGAGAAGGGAAACGGTGAAGCTCTTGATGAAGTTACTACCACTGATGTGACTGTTACCGACGATAGGGCATTTCCTGATGAAGCAGATGAACCCTACGTGAAGCAGAAGCCAACAAGACGCAGACCAGTACGGAAGAAGACACGTCCCGTAAAATTAAGAGACTTTGTTGAATTGTAATTTTGTGATTGTAATTCTGTACATTTAATTAAGTTATTGTTAATTGTTATTGGTTTATTGTAAGTGGTTATTGTTCGGGACGAACAATATTAAGGAGGGGCCAGTGTTGCGTCAGCGAGGTCACATGACTAGTGTAACGCCACGTTTCTAGAACTATCCTGTACCTTGGCGAATGCTCTAGCATTTACTAGATATAGGGTAGTCTAGTATATAAAAGAGGGTGACAACGTGACGGAATAATGTGTGTGTGTGTAGACAGTGAGTAACTGATCTGCAGTCAGAGAGTATTATTGAAGTTGAGCCCGTTCGGTGTTATAGCGTTTGTTTTAGCGCGATTGTTGAAATTAAGTGTATCGTAAAGTTATATTCGGAAAGAATAAACCAGTTTTATTAAGTAAGGACTTGTGTCGCTAAAGTTTCGTCTGAACGAATTTACGGGAAATCAATTAACAAACGGAGACATAATAATATTGTTTTTTTAACCTTATTAAGGATCAATTAATATTTACTTCTGATCAGAACAGGCTTAGAGCGAAGTTAAAAATAACCCTGGTAAGTATACTTTTCTTATTTATAAATACCCCCAGTGGCACAGCGGTATGTCTGCGGACTTACAACGCTAGAAACTGGGTTTCGATACCCGTGGTGGACAGAGCACAGGTAACCCATTGTGTAGCTTTGTGCTTAATTCCAAACAAACAAATACTTATAAAGACTAAAATGCATTATTTTACCAGTTGTGTACCCTTGCTTTTAACAGCATTTGCGGATAGAATAGTTAGACTGTAATTTAGATTTAGAAGTTAAATAAATGCTGATATATCTCCAATTTATGATATTTGCCAACAAGATTGATGCACAGAGTTTTCTTTTTTTTAATACAAATGTTTTAATATATGAACAATAATACAATTTAGAATAACAGTTATTACAAATAGTTATCAGAAACAATGATTTATATACAAAAGTTTTACAAACTTATAAACAATATAAAGTCATCTTTCTGGTCTGGAAACTTCTTGATGTATTATCGAGGGTTCACGATGAGCGAGTTAATTTCAAGTTGACGTAGGTACAATTCACTTAATAGGGAGCTAGCTAGCCCCCGTGGTCTTTACTGGTCACACGCCGATTTTTCCTACCCGTGACATTAGGTAATGTTTTCGTAAAAGTACTAATGTTCCATGTGAATCCACTGAAGTTGAATGATTTGTAATGTTCGAAATTTATAAACGTTCCCGGTCAATATATCTGAAGTTCCCGATTAATAAGCGTTAAACACAGTTATAGCTTACGAAGTTTATAGTACACCGATTACAGCAACCCAATAATAGATACTCCTTCTTTCTTTTTTTTTTTTTGGCGCGTCGCGTTGGTTATACTTATAGGCGTTTGGAGAGTTTCTCGAAATTTCAGTTTACGTAACAATACTGATGCTGACATTAGCGTCTACGTACACACATATATTGTTGATTCTTACACTCAAGAATATTTTACAACTTTAGAGAATAGGCGGGAGTTTTGCAATACATATTTAACAGTATAAGTTGTGTACATTTCTAAATATAAATTTAATTTAAACAAACATCGATATCAAAATGAATATATAATAATATATCCACCACAAGGTGAAAAATTAATACTTACTTACATTTAACAATTAACGATGGTTTTATTTTCTTAGGAGTACAGCTATGTATAGATTGCATGTCTAATGTAACAAATAACGATGGTTTTGGTTTTAATTTTTAAGGATCTAGTCAGATTACTTACATTTGTAAGGTAACATTTAATTATGTTTTTTTCTTACTTCTTTAAGTTATAATTATATAATTATAATTAATTATACTTCTCATAGGACGTTTCTATTGGGCTTCTTATATTTTGTGGTACTAAATTCTTTATTCAGTCATTTAGGTGTTTTTTTTTTCAAAAATAAAAATTAGTATATAATAATATATCAACAACACTATGTCCTCAGCTCTTCTTGTTTTTGAAAGGACCTAAGGGACTGAATAAAGAAGGTAGTGTTAAATAATATAATAGGCCTAATACCATTATCTTATGACAGATATAATCTATACTATTATTCTGCTTGTTTGTATGTACGACCGTTACGCTTTCTGACCGAGAACCTGCTGTATAAGTATGCGAACTAAGAATGTTTCTTCAAAAATCGCGCATACGCATTAATCACTCGACGACAAACGGTCTGCCTGTGGCAGAGAGCTACAAAGCTCGGTGATTAAGTCGCTACAATTGCTGTATGAAAAAAGAGTAACACCAAAA